AGAAATTCTTGATTTTATAGAAGCATATGTTACAAATGATTTTCTAGTTAAAGAAAATTCAACGATCATATCTCCAAGCTCGATTTTTATCGAATTGTGGCGAAAGAGTGGTAAGAGAATCACATTTATTAAGTACATTTTTAATTTTTTTACATTTTACATATAACTTGCCAAATTCAGCTGTCGATTTTACCTCCTTTTTATGTGTGCGAGAAAAGTTTAATCAAAGACTTTTTACCTAAAACGGATGCCTACTGTGATGTGCTATTTTCGTTACTGTTTGTTACTTTTACAAACAAACAAAAAACGATTTAATAATATTTCGTATTGTGTGTCAAAGCAATATATAACAACAAAAAATACAAACCACACAGTGTGTTTTAGGATTAACCTATTACTATTTTGTATGCATGTGTTAGGTTACAAACTTCGTAGAAAATAACTACTTAAGTATTCTACATAAATAAAAAAATAACCAACAAAAGTAGTATAATTCCTTTCCTTTAATATATGTACATACACAATAGTAGTCTATGAAGATTTTGAGTGAATTGTGTAAATTATCTTAATAATATAGAAATTTACAGTCATTAATATAAATAAAATTTTAATTATAAATTTATACTTATTATACAGTAAGAATTATTTTCTAGCACTCAGTATATTTTACATGGTCACTGACAAACATGTCTTCTACAACTTTATGTTTGAAAAAGCCATAAACTTATATCATAACATGTGAGTATATAACTTATTATGATAAATTGCGCAAAATGTTTATTTGTGTAATTCACATTATACGGTATCGTCGAAACGTACAGAACATATTATTTTTTCTTTGAAACATGTATTAACTAATTTTATTAACTAACATGAGTGTACTTTTTATACTACTCTCGTTTGTTATTAGTTTATCACGTGATACTTATGCTACACAATTAAATTTTGATATTCTATGGAGCAAACTACTATCTGAGATGCCTACGCACAAAAATACGTCTTCCCTAAGAACGTTAACGATTGTGATAACTTCTTGGACACACGTTGGCTATCCTATAGTACAAGTAAACCGACACAACAATACACGGACTCTTGAAATACTGATTAGAGACTGTTTTCTAAGTACTAAAGAGAAATCTTGTGTAAGCACGTGGTGGATACCTGTGACCTATATAACAATACCAAAGTCTAATATCAAATATCAATCGTACTTACAACCAGACGGAAACAATATTATAGTTCCGAATATTGAAGAAAATGATTCTGTCCTTTTTATGGATGTACCTGGTAATATTTTTACACACATGGATTATTTAGTTTTGTCTTTTACTCTTACATAGTACCTTTTAAATTTCCGTCAGTGTAGTATAGTTACTGTTTCTTGCTTTATTGTGTTATTTCTTTTTCTTTGTCTTTGTAATATTCTCACTGTTTTCTTTTGTCACTTTTACTAACACTTAAATGTTGTAGGATATCGCGTCAACTACGATCGTAAATCTTGGGAGAATATTGCTCTCTTCTTGAAACGTAAAAAATCTAAGATTTTATCTGACGAGTCATTAGCCCAAATTCTCGACGATGCTTTTTATTTTTTTTGATATTGCAAACAGTGTATTTCACGTGAAAAATTCCTACATAGCTTGGTATCCTATATTTACTGCTTTCGAATACTTCTCAAAAATGTTTCCGTTTCCAGAAAGTGCATACATCAAGGTAATTAATACTAAATTAATATATCAATTAAATGCTAAAAAAGATGCAATAATAATAATAACTGAGTTTCTTACATTCTACTTATAATATAGTCTTACAGAATTTTATTACATTAATTTGTACTTTCGCAATCAATACACAAAACATTTTGTATAATAAATTCTAAATAAACAAGTTGTTTTAAACATAAAAATCCAAATAAAAAAAAAACACAAAATAAAACGATAAATTATATATATCAGATGACTTGTTTGTTGATAACTGTTCAAAAATATGTTGTAAAAACTCCTGTGATACATTAAACAAATAGTACATATTACTTTGTACATATCTGACGTTTTCAAACATGTATAAGTTTCAGATAAAGAAGAAGAAACATTTACATGTACATAAGCGTTTGATAAAAACATTGAAATATGAAATGTATTANCTTTAAAAAATAACTAATTTAAAACTTTATTCTTACGTAAATCTTTTATAAACATGTATTAAATAAACTTAAGTGTAAGTGTTAATGTATAAAACAAACTCATATATTTTGATTTATTAGGATAGAATTCTGGATGTATTGCATAAGTTTCATAACTATTCGACTTTACTTTCTTCCAAAAATACTGTCACTAGTCAGTTCTATTACGAAGGTTTAAAATGGTTGTGTATTCTCAATAGCATAAAATGCACAGAACTTGTTATAGATGAATTAACATGGCATACAGCTGATCCTTCACAAACCAGGTACGTTATTGATTTAAAAGAAAACTAATAGTATTAAAGACGTTACCTGATTATAGTTATGTTGTTTTACGTTTATATACGATTTAATCACATAAACTTTACATTGTTCTTATTATGGTTATTATTAGTATTTTTGTTGTTGTTGTTGTTGTTGTTCTTGTTCTTGTTAAAAAAAAAACATTATCGCGACTAGTGATTTCTTTATTTCTTTCTTTCTTTCTTTTTTGAGTAAAGTTATATTGTTTCTTTGCAGACTTTTGAAAGGTTGGCAGAAATGGATATTTTGCCAGAGTTTAATGGTAGAAAATTCCACGTACGAGAATTCTTCTACATGGTATACATTAAAAACCATGTATGAAACTCAGTCAAAAGAAGAAGAAATGTTTAAATTCTTACATTGTTCTAGACATCGCAGAAATATTTTCTTATCTTTTTATTCCTTTTCAACTAATATTCTGCCATCTTCTGAAAATACTGTAAATTTAAAAAAAAGTGATAAAGTATCTTTAATTTTTAATATTTTTGCAAAGCATTCAAAAACTATTGCATCGCTGACGTCTATACTAGATGTAATACATTACATAGAAAGGTAAACCACTTTTTCTTATGTATAGATTTTTGCATATTTATACACAATGTATGTACGTTCTATATAGATAGTATACTGTATATGAAATCTATTTGCCGCATATACGATGTTGTATTATAATATATACTTAATACGTAAACAAATAAATTTTACATATTAATTTTCTTTGTTTCTTGTGATAGGGACAATAACATAAATGCAATAATGACCTGTATTATTAACAACATATATTCAGACGAAGGCCTGTCGATGGTACGTATAGGAAGTACTATATAAAGTCATTTGCTTTATCAATATATGTGGTTTACTTTATCTAATTTTACATATATAAAAATTTACACATTTCGGTTTTTATACATATCATGTATTTCTATACGTAAGTGTGGTAGAGGTATATTGTAGTTATATAATATATCTTAAAATGGTTTTGATATAATAACGTTAATATGTAATATTATGTGTTTTTACACAATGCGCACGCNACGACAGATTGCCACCAAACGCCAAGCAGGTCTGTTCGTGTATACGTGCGCACTGTTTGCAATTTGGCGCCAACAGACGATGACCAAACCTATTTCGGATTTTGGCTTCACTTTGGCGATAATTTGACTTCGCTTTGCTTGTGGCAGACTTTGTCATCATTTTGGTCGCATTTTGACATTTCACATGTTGACAGACATGGTTACCAAACCATATCCTACTGAGGACACAGATGGATATGGTTCTGTGACCGAAATGTTTGCTGGGGTCTGTGTTAAATATCACAAATTTTTTTTAAACATGTTTATTATTTCATTATATATATAATTATATATATATTTCCTTATATATATATAGTATATGCTCATATAAAGTTTTTGTATCTTATTTTATACTAAAAAAAGTGTCGTATTGATAATACGCTGCTTTTATAATATAAAATTTTTTACTAAAAGATGTCATAAATTCATCTTTTTCAAAACTGTATTGGTCAATCTGTATTATTACATAAAACTGTATTATATGTGCGTACAATAGCTGAAGTTAGTAAATAGTATTTGTATAATAATGAAAACTATTGTAGATTTTTGGTCAATCTTTACTGAAGTCGCTAATAATCCAAACACGACGAGAATTTCTTGATTTTATAGAAGCATATGTTACACATGATCTTCCAGTTAAAGAAAATTCACCGTTCATATCTCCAAGCTCGATTTTTATCGAATTGTGGCGAAAGAGTGGTAAGAGAATCACATTTATTAAGTACATTTTGACTTCTTTTACAATTTACATATAACTTGCCAAGTTCAGCAATCGATTTTAGCTTTTTTTAAAACTTTAATCAAAGACTTTTTACCTAAAACGGATGCTTACTGTCTTGTGCTATTTTTGTTACTTTTTGTTACTTTTACAAACAAACAAAACTTTAATAATATTTTTTATTGTCTGTCAAAGAAATATATAACAACAAAAAAAAACCACAAAGGTTTAGGATTAACCTGTTATTATTTTGTATGCATGTGTTAGGTCACGTAAATCGTAAAAAATACCTACTTAAGTATTCTNAATAAATAAAAAAATAAACAACAAAAGTAGTATAACTCCATTTATTTAATATATGTACATACACAATAGTAGTCTATGTAGAATTAGAGGAAATTGTAAAAATTATCTTAATGATATATAAATTTACAGTCATTAATATAGATAAATTTTTACTTATAAATTTGAACCTATTATACAATCGGAATTATTTTGTAGCACTTAGTATATTTTACATGGTCACAGACAAACATGTTCTATACAACTCCATGTTTAGAGACGCCATAAACTTATATCATAACACGTGAGTATATAGATTATTATGATAATTTGTGCAAATTTTATACTTGTGTAATTCATATTATACGGTACCGTTAAAACGTGAAGAACATATTACTTTTTCTTTGAAACATTTATTAACTAATTTTATTACCTAACATGAGTGTATTTTTTATACTACTCTCGTTTGTTATTAGTTTATCACGTGATACTTATACTACACAATTAAATTTTGATATTTTATGGAGCAAACTACTATCTGAGATGCCTACGCAAAAAAATACGTCTTTCCTAACAACTTTAACGACTGTGATACCTTCTTGGACACACGTTGGTTATCCTCTAGTACAAGTAAACCGACACAACAATACACGGATTCTTGAAATATTGATTAGAGACTGTTTTCTAAGTAATATAGAAAAATCTTGTGTAAGCACGTGGTGGGTACCTGTGACCTATATAACAATACCACAGTCTAATATCAAATATCAATTGTACTTACAACCAGACGGAAACAATATTATAGTTCCGAATATTAAAGAAGATGATTCTATCATTTTTATAGATGTACCTGGTAATATTTTTACACACATGGATTATTTAGTTTTGTCTTTTGCTCTTACATAGTACTTTTGAAATTTTCGTCAATGTATTATATTTACTGTTTCTAGTTTTATTCTTTTATTTCTCTTTCTTTGTGTTTCTATTATTCTCACTGTTTTCTTTTGTCACTCTTACTAACACTTCATTGTTGTAGGATATCGCGTCAACTACGATCGTAAATCTTGGAAGAATATTGCTATCTTCTTGAAAACTACACCATTTAATATGTTGAATTTATCTGACGTCACATTAGCTCAAATTTTCGACGATGCTTTTTATTTTTTAGTACAAAATACAGATTATAATGAAAATTCTGTTTCAAATACTTATGAAAATCTAGACATATTTTTTGATATTGCATACAGTGTATTCCACGTGACCAGATTCTACATAGCTTGGTATCCTATATTTACTGCGTTTGAATACTTCTCAAAAATGTTCCCGTTTCCAGAAAGTGCATACATCAAGGTAATTAGTACTAAATTACTAAATCAATTAAATGCTAAAAAAGATATAATAAAAATGATAACTGAGTTTCTTACATTATACTTATAATATAGTCTACGGAACTTCATTACATTAATTTGTACTTTTGCAATCATCACACAAAATATTTTGTATAATAAATTATAAAAAAACAAGTTGTTTTAAACATAAAAATCCAAATCAAAAAGAAACACGTAATAAAAAGATAAATAATATTTATCAACTGACTTGTTTGTTGATAATTGCTCCAAAATATGTTGTAAAACCACCTGTGATACAGAAAACAAATAGTAAATATTACTTATTAGATATCTGTCGTTTTCAAACATGTATAAGTTTCAGATAAAGAAGAAGAAACATTTACATGTAACATACATAAGCATTTGATAAAAACATTGAAATATAAAATGTATTAAATATAAAAAATAACTACTTTAAAACTTTATTTTTACGTAAATATATTTTAAATTAACTTACGTGTAAAAAAAGTATATCATAAAACGAACTTATATATCTTGAATTTTTAGTTTAAAATTCTGTATGTAGTGAACAAGTTTCTTGAGGATTCGTCGCATACACCTTCTTCCGAAAATAATGTCACTAATCAGTTATATTACGAAGTTTTAAAATGGGCATGTATTCTCGATAGCATAAAATGCAAAGATATTGTCATGGCTGAATTAACGTGGCATATACACAATCCTGCACAAAACAGGTACGTTATTGACTTACTANCAAAATAATACTATTAAAGACGTTACCTNATTGTAGTTATGTTGTTTTACGTTTATATACGATTATCACAAAAATTTTTCATTGTTCTTCTTATTGTTACTATTAATATTTTTGTTGTTGTTGTTGCNTTTATTGTTGTTACAAAAAAAANTTTATTGTTACTAGAGATTTTGATATTTTCTTTTCTCTCTNTTCTTTGANTAAAGGTATATACATTGTTTCTTTGCAGATTTTTGCNAAGTTGGCAGAAATGGATATTTTGCCAGAGTTTAATGGTTGAAAATTCCACGTATGAAAACTCTTCTACATGGTATACATTAAAAACCATGTATGAAACGCAGTCAAAAGAAGAAGAAATGTTTAAATTTTTACCTTGTTCTCGACTTCGCAGCAATATTTTCTTATCTTTCAAATCCTTTGCTACTNCTTTTCTACCATCTTCTGAACGTAGTGTAGATTTAAANAAAAGTGATAGAGTTTCTTTTNTTTTTACTATTTATGCGAAGCATTCAAAAACTCTTGCNTCGCTGACGTCTATACTAGAAGAAATACGTTACATAGAAAGGTAAACCATTTTTTTGTATGTATAGACTTTTGCATATTTACATAATGTAGTTACGTTCTATATAAACTGCATATGAAATCCATTTGCCGCACATACCATGTTGTATTATAATATATACTTAATACGTAAACAAATAAATTTTACATATTAATTGTCATTGTTACTTGTGATAGCGACATTAACATAGGTGCACTAATGAACTGTATTATTAACAACATATATTCAGACGAAGGCCTGTCGATGGTACGTATAAAAAGTACTATATATAGTCATTTGCTTTATCAATATATACGATTTACTTTATCTCATTTTATATATATATAAAAACCTACACACACATTTTGATTTTTCTACATGTCATATATTTATATACGTAAGTGTGGGGTAGAGGTATTTTGTAGTTAAATAATATATCTTAAAGTGTTTTCGATATAATAACATTAATATGTAATATTATGTGTTTTTATACAATGCGCAAGCACATCACATTCAATGCTAACAGCACAAAATATTTTCAGGTTACCGATGAAAAGTTCTTACAAATGCTGAGAGACAGACATCGTGCGGTAAATGTTTTTATAGACTATTTGAAGTAATCTATAAGTAGTGTTTCTTGTAGGTTAACGATTTTTTTGAGTTTTTAAATGTAAACTGTTTTCTATTTCCAAATTGATATTTTGTTTGTTCTTATAAACATATATTTTTTTTTCTAATCTCTGCAAACATATACAAAATTATTATATAAGTTATTGTAATTTGTTTCAGCCATCTTATGTTATTTACGCCGTGAAAAAAAAAGTTGATGATCGTCGTGCTTTACTAGTTAAATTAAAAAATAACTTCTTTCCAAACCGTAAAATGCATTTATTTACAGAGATTTAATGTTAGACTTGTATACTCGTTTTCTTTATCTTAAAGAAACAAATGCTACCAATTACTTCTATTTCTCACTAGTTTTTTTAATTGTGTTTAATAAGAAAAGTTTTCTTTTATGACAACATAAAATATTTATTACTCATATTTAAAATCGGTAATACAGTTTGCGGATTTTAATATAGTTAATAATTCGTGCCAGTTGTCCACAAAAGAAAATTAGATCTGTATTAAAAGTAAACAATTTATAACAGTTTATTTGATTAAAGTATTGTTGTAAAACTAAGTATTTATTAAGCAACTTGCACAAAAAATAAATTTATATATTAAGGACATAGTAAAACATTACAACATATATACATATATACATAAGATTATANAAATAAGAGAAAACAGTTATATATTATTTAATATTAAGTTTAACATAATTAATATATATTGATTAAGATTATTACTATTAATTATAAAACAATAAAACTTACGGTACTTTTACTTTATTATGTTTTATTTATACATTAATTTTTGTTATATATTTTTTATTTATAATAAACATACCATTTGCTTTATTTCTTTGGTTACTTTTTAATGTTTCTTAAAATTTTACCAATGTGCACTAATTTCTACCAAGTTTATATGTAAACATATTTATATGTATACATTATATATTTATATGTATTTTAATATAATCATTTTGTTTTGCTGTAGTACAAATACTCTAAGTACAAATGTGTTCTTCCAAACGGAACTTTATTGCTTGCTACCTTTATCGTCTTTTTTTTTAAATTACAAAGTTATTTTACTCTAATACTAATATTTTGTGTTAGAAACTTTTCTATAAAAATTTCTCGGAATGTACAAATAATGTCATTTGTTGTAATTGTTATCTATTGTTTTACTTATTTAGACTCATAAACATTTTTATAACACTACAGAAGACTCTAAAACTCTACATATTTTTTTCTTAATGAACCTATTGAAACATCATGTAACATTGTAACATGCAGTACACTTGATGCGCGCGTACTCTCGCACTTTAAAATAATAGATATTTACTTACAACTACAATACGTTAAAACTTTATCGACAGACGCGCTATCAGAATTGTTGCGTCATTCTATCTTTGTATTATATCTAATATGCATTAAACATAGAGCGAGATGCAATAGCGCAAATATAGCGCTCTTTTTTACCGCAGCTAACTCTACAGACTTACATCAAAATATCAATCAAAAGCAAAAGTAATAAGAAACCCTGATTCTAGATCACTATATTTGTCTATTTAATTTGTCTTTGTCTCTGTGGCAATCTTTACTGACAATGAGTTCAGAAAGAAAAGAAAATCGGTCCTTGCATAGGAAAAGTAAAGAGTGCAAAGTGGCGATAGCGGTTTGTGTTAAATTAGCGGGATACTCGTTAATATCTACTGGCTGTAAAGTAAGATGGCTTTCTGATACGAGATATGCGCAAAATGAACAAGTTGTTGTCCGTTTCACTTTACATTTTTCATTGAACTTAGTGTAGTTTTCAGGCGTTTTTTTGCTTTGATTTCTGTATATTCCACAGAAAAACCTGAGAACAGTCTTCTCATGAAACTTTTTTTCGACATACTCGCGATTGCTGCTTTCAACATTACATACCCATAAAAATAAATGTATGAGAAAACTACGGAGCAACAATCACTTTTAACCGTAGACAGTACAAATCTAATCTTATTTGAGTCTGTGTTGCAATAACTTTTAAGTAGGTTAGAAAAGTGTTCATAGTTTATTGAATCGAATTGTGTAAAAAACAAAAACAAATATTAAATTAACTCTCTTAAATAAAACATCTTGTATATAAAAGGTTTTGCGTATTGTACAGTGAAAATCTAAATTTATAAGTCATATGTCTATCTTGTTTGGTTAAAAAAAAAGGCTATACCGAACGTTTGCCAGGTGTATTGCAATAAATATTAATAAGTGCGTATTGTTTCCCAACGTTTTGACTTTATTTTGAAGTTATCCTCAGAGGACTTGGATTGAATATTGTTCACTACACAGTTATAATATGTCAGAAAGTTTAACAAAACAGCATGTCAGTAGAGATAGTCATTATAAAATAAAATAAAATAAAATTGAGTCTATGTTTATGTCACGTAAGATAAATTGAGACTGTATATGTCATATCATATTTCTATCACTAGCCATATTTCTTTCACTACAGATAGCTTTCATAGAACGCGGTTTCGATATAACGCAATTTACAAAGTGTGGTTAAATGGAGACTAAGTAATCCGTTTAATCAATATGCGCGCTTATGCAAGCTTTGTAAGTATATCGCGATTAATAAAACGCGGCGTTTTTGTGGAACAGAATATTCGCGAATTACAAAAGCCATCTCTATACAGTAGCGTAGTTAGAAAAGACAGGAACCAGAACGGTCTGTTTTTCTTATTCTTCATAAGAGTACTCTGATAATGATTTAAACAACTACCAAATAATTGTTTTACCCGGTAAAAAATTTTTTATGTATAAAATTATATAGACATTTTTGGCATATAAATTTGCATAATTAAATACAATAATTTTAATTTATGTATGAGTGTATACGAAAAATTTTTTATCGGGTAATTTCGTCAATTTGACGAACGGTCACATTGTGATTTTGTAGTAATCGTTGAATAACGAAAAATATAATTTTATATAATTTTCTGTATTCAACATGATGCTAATAGAGTTATTTTGATATAAAATATTTTCGAAGCCATTTTCTGATAAAAGAAATTCTCTGTTTGTAAAATTGTATGGACATATTCAGTATATATATATATATATATATATAAATGTACATAATTAGATATAATAATTTTAATTTGTGTATAAGTATATATAAATGTATAATTATGTATAAGTATATATAATTATATATCAAAAATGTTTTACCGGGTTTGATTAAATCTGTGTCCGTTTTATTTGTAAGTTCATTTGGAATACACGCCGTCTGTGACACTTATGTAAATATTAGGGCTGCGGCTTAAATTCGAATAACAGTGTGATTCGGATATCCGGATATTCGAATATAATATATATGTACGAATAAACTTCNTGTTTGTTCTTATAAACATATATTTTTTTTATCTAATCTCTGCAAACATATACAAAATTATTATATAAGTTATTGTAATTTGTTTCAGCCATCTTATGTTATTGTCGCCGTGAAAAAAAAAGTTGATGATCGTCGTGCTTTACTAGTTAAAGTAAAAAATAACTTGTTTTTAAGCGATAAAATGCATTTATTTACAGAGATTTAATGTTAGACTTGTATACTCGTTTTATTTATCTTCAAGGAACAAATGCTACCAATTACTTCTATTTCTCACTAGTTTTTTTAATTGTGTTTAATAAGAAAAGTTTTCTTTTATGACAACAAAAAATATTTATTACTCATATTTAAAATCGGTAATGCAGGTTACGGATTTTAATATAGTTAATAATTCGCGCCAGTTGTCTACATAAGAAAATTAGATCTGTATTAAAAGTAAATAATTTATAATAGTTTATTTGATTAAAGTATTGTTGTAAAGTTAAGTATTCATTAAGCATCTTGCACAAAAAATAAATTTATATATTAAGTACATAGTAAAACATTACAACATATATACATATATACATAAGATTATAGAAATAAGAGAAAACAGTTATATATTATTTAATGTTAAGTTTAACAAGATTAATATATATATATTGATTAAGATTATTACTATTAATTATAAAACAATAAAACTTACGGTACTTTTCCTCTATTATGTTTTAACTATAAATTAATTTTTGTTATATATTTTTTATTTANAATAAACATACCATTTGCTTCATTTCTTTGGTTACTTTTTAATGTTTCTTAAAATTTTAACAATGTGCACTAATTTCTACCATGTTTATATGTAAACATATTTATATGTATACATTATATATTTATATGTAACTTAATATAATCATTTTGTTTTGCTGTATTACAAATACTCTAAGTACAAATGTGTTCTTCCAAACGGAACTTTATTGCTTGCTATCTTTATCGTTTTTTTTTTGAAATACAAAATTATTTTACTCTAATAATAATATTTTGTGTTAGAAACTTTTCTATAAAAACTTCTCGGAATGTACAAATAATGTCATTTGTTGTAATTGTTATCTATTGTTTTACTTATTCAGACTCATAAACATTTTTATAATACTACAGAAGACTCTAAAACTCTACATATATGTTTTTTAACGAACCTATTGAAACATTATGTAACATTGTAACATGCAGTACACTAGATGCGCGCGTACTCTCGCACTTTAAAATAATAGATATTTACTTACAACTACAATACGTTAAAACTTTATCGACAGACGCGCTATCAGAATTATTGCGTCATTCTATCTTTGTATTATATCTAATATGCAATAAACATAGAGCGAGATGCAATAGCGCAGATATAGCGCTCTTCTTTACCGAAGCTAACTTTACAGATTTACATCGAAGTATCCATCAAAAGCAAAGGTGATAAAAAACCTTAATTAAGATCACTATATTCTACTATTTGATTTGTCTTTGTCTCTGTGGCAATTTTTACTGAGTTCAGAAAGAAAAGAAAATCGGTCTTTGCATAGGAAAAGTAAAAGTGCAAAGTGGCGATAGCGGTTTGTGTTAAATTAGCGGGATACTCGTTAATATCTACTGGCTGTAAAGTAAGATGGCTTTCTGATACGACATATGCGCAAAACGAACAAGTTTTTGTCCGTTTCACTTTACATTTTTCATTGAACTTAGTGTAGTTTGCAGGCGTCTTTTTGCTCTGATTTATGTATATGTCACAGAAAAACCTGAGAGCAGCCAACCCATGAAACTTTTTTTCGATATACTCGCAATTATTGCTTTCAACATTACATTTCCATAAAAATAGGTGTATGAAACACTTACGAAGCAACAATCACTTTCAATTGTAGACAGTACAAATGTAATCTTCTTTGCTGCTGAGTCTGTGCTGCAATTACTTTCAAATAATTTAAAAATTTATTATTAATTTATCTTATTCTTCTTTCATTATTAATTAAAAATTTATATTGAATAGTAAAAATTTACATTTCAAAAGTCATATTTTTTTCACTAACCATATTTCTATCAGTGGAGATAACTTTTGTAGACCGTGAATTCAATGCAACGCAATTTACATATTGTAGCACAATGGAGATAAATACTTAAGTAATCCGTTTATTTAATATGCGCGCTTATACAAGCCTCGTATATCGATATTATAGTATATCGATATAAAACGCGGCATTTCTGTGGAACAGAATATCCGCGAACTACAAAAGTTATCTCTATACAGTAGCGTAGTAAGAAAAGACAACGANCAGGGCGGATTTTGTCCTTTTCTTTATAAGGTTACTTTGCTAATAATTACTTAAAAAACTATCAAATACTTGTTTTAGTTTAGTAAGAATTACCTTTTTTAGTTTACATTTTAATTTTTGATAATAAATTAATTTTATCCACATATACAAAAAGAAGCGATATGTCAATCATACACTATACTTTGGCTATATAATTTACACAGTTGTCTGTGTTAAAGACTGTAAAGTTACAAGTGTGTA